TGTAAGAGGTGTATTATTTTTCTAATGCTGCTCTAAGAAATAACCACAGCCTTAGTGACTTCAACACCACAAATTTATTATCTGATTGTTCGGTGGCTTAGAACACAGGATTAGCTCTGCAATAAAAATCAAGGGGTTGGAAGGGTTGCATTTCTTTCTGGAGGTTCTCAGGAGAGCGTGCTTCACTTTTTCCAGCTCCTAGAGGCCACTTGCAATCTTTCATCCAGCTTCAAAGCCAGTGGTAGGTTGAGTCCTCACTCTCTGTCACGCTGACCTATTCCTCTGTTTCCTTCTACTTTTAAAGACCCTTGTAATTGATTACACGGAGTCCCCCTGGATAATCCGGGATGATCTCCCTATTTTAAGGTCAGCTGATTAACAAACCTAATCTTCTTTTTCCCTGTAAAGTGACATATTCTCAGTTTCCAGGGATCGGGATGTGGACATCTTCGGGCAGATTACAGGCCATATTCTGCCTATTCCAAAGGGATAGGGAATCCTAAGGCGAAGACTGGGAAAGGGATCCCCTAAGGATGAAAGGAAGGGGCAAATGCTTTGTGGGCACAATGTTTTCAAATGGAAATGTTAGAGGCATCGCTGCAAGCTATCGGACATATATTATTAACTCACATTGATTTTGGCAGACAAGGAAACCTCTTGATGATTTTCACAGGGCTAAACCAGAATCTTGTTTTGTACTTCCTTTGTGCTTTTATTTTTCTATTTAAACCGATGTAGGGACTTTCATATATTCCTGTTAAATTTTATCTTTATATTTCAGCGCAGGGTTCAAGTGTTTGTTTGTTTTTTTTCCCAAAGATTTTATTTATTTATTTGACAGAGAGAGATCACAAGTAGGCAGAGAGGCAGGCAGAGAGAGAGGGGGAAACAGGCTCCCTGTTGAGCAGAGAGCCCGATGTGGGGCTCGATCCCAGGACCCTGGGATCATGACCTGAGCCAAAGGCAGAAGCTTTAACCCACTGAGCCACCCAGGTGCCCCAGGGTTCAAGTTGTTAATCTAATTTTGTTTCCTGGTCCTGTCTTCAGAACAGAACTTTGGTTACAATTATCCAACTTACTTCGAGTTTATCTAATTATAATTATAATTGATTATAATTATATTATAATTATGTTGATTATAATCAAGCCATTATTTAGGAGTCTTATCCACAAGTATCATGGAAGACTGGATTAAATGCTTTGTTGAAATTAATTTCTATCATGACTATACAATTCCCATTTTAACTCAAAGATCAAATAAAAAAAAGAAGTATAGGATGACTTCTCTTTAGGTAGTCTGGTTCTCAGTAACCAGCAAACCCTCTTCTAAATGTTCGCAAATCTATGAATTGTGGAATGTTACTTTTTTGTTCTAAAGCTTTTAGTGTCTGTCTTTAAGCCAGTTTTTTGAAAGCAGGTGATTTGTCATCTTTTTTTTTTTCATTTTTTACAGTTTCTCTGAACTTCCCAGTCACGGGTCTTAGGTTATCCGTGAATAGCTGTGGGATGTAATTTGTGCCTGGAAACATGAACTTATTTGAAACAGATAGGTGTGATCGCTATCCCCTCACCTCTCTCGAGTTTCACTTCTTTCTCTACTTAGTTTCACCTTTACCACTTTCAAGTCCATTTTCCTTACTGAAGAAAAAACGCACAGATGGAGTCAGCTCTCCAGTTTAGCCTCTATGTTATTCTCTTCTGTAAACTGATAATTCTGTGTTTATGAAAATCTAGGCAGACATAATTATTTCTTTGAGCCCTCTATTATACTCCATGCTACTTTAAACCCATCTTTCCACCTTTTCCTCTCGAAGGTACCAGGTAACTCCAGCCCTCAATGTTTTCTTCATGGCCCTTTATAGTTTATATGACATCGTTTAATGGTGGAAAAAGTATCACCTTCCATTTGAGGCTTTTTAATTATTTATTTTGTTGTCTCTCAGAATAACTGTTGATTTCTTTGCCTTTTTTTAATTTACCTGCAAAGCTGGGGTTCTTTCTAAGCAAGAATGCCAGGTACTGAATATATATTGTAGGTTAGTTGAGTTTCTTAAATATCAAATTTGGATAGATATTCTTCACATATTAATCTCTTTGACTGATTTTCTTGTAATAAAAGCCAAACAAAACTACCTTTAGAAGTGGTCCTCATCTCCAACCTTCTACCGATTATTAATTAATCATGTCTTTAAGCTATTTAATAACAATCTCAGCTACATTTGAGATGGCAGTTTGGAATTCTATTGCTAAAGAGGCAAGACTCTCTTTCTGCTTTGCCAGTCAAGGCTGTGTTTCTTTATTTGTCTGGCCTTATTCTAGAAAAAGATTCTAATTTGAAACTTCTAAATTATACCTAATTTAAACCCTGAATTTAGAAACCACATCCCTTCTCTTGGCACTATTTTTTAGCTTGGAGAATTGGTAAATGTTTAAAAACAAGAAATTATAAAGAGTGCTTAATAGTACTAATTTAAAAATGTTATATATAATTTTCAATGCATTGATAATCATGCAGAATAAGCTACTGATGTAACATCGGGAAAAGGGTAGCAAGTTTAATTCTCTTTTCTACATTAAATACTGTCAAAATTCTGGTTCACCGTTTATTTCGTTCAGCTAGGCAACTTGTTAAATCTCAGTCTATGACTTCTATGATCTATGTATTCCCATGTGATTTATTTGTCTAAAAATCTATTAATGAGATATGGGGATTTGGGTTGCCGTCATGACAACCACGCAGTACAGCTTGTTTGCTATTTCCTAGATACAGAAGCTCAGAAAGGAATATCCTCCCTGCAGATGCTTATTTAGTACTGGGACCTGGTAACTATGGAAATTTAGTTTGAGATTATGTAGCTAAATTGTTTACAAGGTACACGAAAACAGATAAAAGAGAGAGTAAAATATGTTATGGTCAATATATTTTTTGGTGGCAGTCTTATTATGTAAAGGTCTTGGTGTTCTCTCTCTATAATTCCCCAAACCATATTATCTTCCTAATTTTGTGATCCATTGTATAAGAAGAATTTAATATCTTCCCTTTCTTTTATTAGGTAGATTTTGTTGAGTGACTAGTTCTATTTTGTGGGGATAATAATGACAATAATATTCACATCCTATTGCACACGTGCTTTTTTCATCCCTAGGTACCTCACATTATGATGCATAAGACATGGAAATCCGGATTGATGTAGGAAAAAAATCTTAATCCCAGACCACTTATAATTTAAAGAGACAGTACATATGTAAAATGATGGTGAACAAGACAGGAGCATGTGTGCTGTTGAGAGGACAGTGGGATCATTTTGCCTGAGGTGAGATGAGTTTCGGAGAACTGGGTTTTGGTCTTGAAACAAGAGTAGAAACACCAGCAGGCAGAATGGATGACAGAGAACCTTATAAAAACAAGAAGCTCAGGAAATAAATTCCCCCTATAGCTCCATAAAAGAGGAGAACTCTGAAGTTAGAGCAGATTGAGACTACTAGTGAGAAGTATAATTGCAGAGTTGATATGAATATGTGTTTCAGTAACCCATTTTTACCAAGTTGATTTATGTTTGACCTCCATCGTATTTACTTGCCCACAAATCCTAGGCCATCAGGAATTCACTCCTCTGAATTTGTAGCTAACGCGTCTTACATATTTCAAAAGCGAAAAAAAAAAAAAAAAACATGGTTGAATAGTTTTTATTACCTGCCTTCTTCAGTTTCCTGCATCGTTTCTAGGACATTCTATTTCCCCTCCTGCACTCCCACTGCCAGATTTTTAAGCATCATGGATTCTGCCAACCCTCTTTGAATTTCTCATTTAATCCATGTTGGGTAGGAGAAACAAAACGCGATTCCTTGATATTTTGGGGGGGATAGGATTTGGCAGTGACATTTGGAGAGATTTAGTTTAAATTTGAGAAATTTGGTGTATACAGGATTAACAATTTTCTAAAAAGGTTTTAAATAGTTAAATCCCCCCAAGTAAAGAACTGTGCAAGAAATGTGACCATACAGAAGTCTGGAGAGGAAAGTCTGTAACGCTGGGCGTTGAGCTTTTCTTTCCTTTATGGTAACTTTTGACTACCATCTGGGTCACTTTGGGCAATAAAACTCAAAACATCGGTTTATATTTTTAGCAAAAATAAGTGCGGTTTAGAATCTCCCACAGATGCCTGTGCATCAGGCCATTTGGAAAATTCAGGATTCTCCCCATTCCCAGACTCTCCTGAGGACACTTAGAAACTAAAAGCATCCTCAGTGTCCAGATGTCTCAGGTCTGATGGGGGAACGAGGCAGAAGGTAGGAGACAATGAGGACACTGCAACCCAGACACTGCAGTGGGGAGGACAAGGGGCAGCGAAGTGAATCGAAACGCAGCCCTGCGAGAGGGCCCCTCAAAAGCCGGGAAACACATAAGAAAGGGATCCTAAAACTAGATGCCACCGGGGAGGCGGATGGAAGGGCTGCAGGTCAAGGTCAAACGCTAGGAGGCGGCAGCGTCTGGAGTCAAACGCAAGCAGCTGGCTTCAGGCGCGTTGTTTTGCCTGTGCCTCGAGGGAGAGCATGCCAAGGTCTCCGCAGACCATACAGAACCCAAGCTCCAGGGCCGGCGCCAGAGACACTCCAGCTCTGCGGCTGGGCGCGCGCGCGCGCATGCCCCAACCTCAGCGCGCCTCGTTCGCCCCGCTCGCCCCGCCCCCTCGGAGCCCCGCCCCCAGGTGCGCAGGCCTCGCACGCGCGTCAGCCCCACAGCCCGCGACGGGACGCGCGGGGCCAAGCGCCGGGAGCGCGCGTGTCCGCAGATCCCGGTCCTTCGGGAGCCCCGCCCCCAGGTGCGTTCGGCAGGAGGCGGAGCGAGGCTTCCCGCGCTGCGCGCTCCCCAGGCAGGCGCGCTGCCGACCCTGCGGCTCTGGGGCTCACGGGGCCGAGCGTCAGGGGCGCGCGCGCGGGGCCGCGCTCTCTCCTCACACACACTCCTATTTCCGAGCTCCGTCACCCGTGCGGAGTGTCTCCCCAGGCGGAGCCTGTCCCTGCCTGACCGCGCTGCGGCTCGGCCCTGAGGTGAGGGGGGCTTGGAGGGCCGCGGCGCGGGCGGCTCGCCCCGGGGGACGCCGCCTCTTCGGAAGTGAGAGACGGGCGAGGGAGAGGGGTGGCGCGGAGGGGGTGGAGGGGCGGGATGCAGCGGGCCTCCGTGGCGGCCCCAGCCCGCGAGCTGAGGGGGTCGGGAGGAGACCCCAGGTGGGAGGAAGCGCGGTTTGCGGGGGTCGCGGTGGCCGCTGCCCGGGTGTCGCGCGCGGGTGCGGGGGCCGCCGCGGGACGGCGGCTCCGGGGCTGCCGTGGGCGCGACGGGGTCGGTTCCCTCGGGACGAGAGGGGCGACGAGAGAGAGAAAATGTTGTGCGAGTCCGTTTCCCTCCAAGCGCCTGAGGCGCCGAGCGCCGGTCACCCCCGGGGACTCTCGCGCCGCTCCTCGCCCTGGGTGTTAGGAGGAGAGTTTGGGTGAGAGGAGAACGCGCAGGTCTCATGACAGGACTTGGGGGGAAATGCCCTGATTCCTGAGACGCAGGGCAGGGCTCGGGCACCGAAAGATTTGCGCGTCCCCAAAAGCTGGGTCGGCGGGAGGCATCCATGTATGGGGTTGAGGCGCTCGCGGCTCGGAGCGGGGGTTGGGGTTGGGGTTTCTCCTGTGCTCCTGGGGCTGACCTGCGCCTTTTTGGACAAATATGTCAGAAGGACTATAGATGATCGTGTGCTTTCTGTCGAGGACGTTCTGAGGGAACAGAAGCGCGGGGGGTGGAGAGATGTGTTGGGCTCCCAACCGTGAGGCAGGCTCCATGTTAATCTCGTTGCATCCCGACAGCATCCCATGGAGCTTGGGCTCAGGTGGAAAAATGGGTCCCAAAGAGGTTAAGTCACTTAGGGAGGTCTCCGCGAGCCAGAAGGGTAGAGCGAAGATTCTAACCCAGGGATGCCGGACTCCAAATTCTGGTGCTTTCTGTACCCACCATGTTTTGTGTCTGCCCAAGAGACGTGATGGGTTATCTTCGGGGAAGACTCCGCTCGAGAGAACGCTGTTAGGGCAGTTAAGGCTCTTGGGATGTTCGAGGAGAAATCAAACTAACGAGGCAATCAGCCTTGACTGTGTGCTGTTCGAGTCCGTTTCCCTCTAAACAGGGTTTGGTCTAAGAAATCTTGCAGTCCGGGTCGAAGCAAATTTATGAATATTATCCATAATTTATTTGAGCGTCTTTCGTATTCCAGATACTATGTGGGGAGAGTACCAAGAGGAATAGGGTTTTTATAATCTCCGCCCTTGGGTTGAGAGGATGATCCTGTAAAATAACTTTGCAATATTCTTATAAATAATCATAAATTATAAATAATCATAAATAATGAAGATACATAATCATGAATTATAAATAAATCCTAATCTTTACCGTAATGCGAATTAATTGGATTAAAATAGTCATGAGCTCAAACTTTTAGGAACCTATTATATGTAAGAAGAGGGGCGGGAGGGACCTCTGGGTGGCTCAGTCCTTTAGAGTCTGCCTTCGGCTCAGGTCATGATCCCAGGGTGCTGGGATCCAGCCCCTGGTCAGGCTCCCTGCTCAGTGGGGAGATTGCTTCTCCCTCTCCCTCTCCCTGCTATTCTGCCTGCTTGTGCTCTCTCTTTGTCAAATAAATAAATACATCTTAAATAATTAAATACATCTTTAAAAAAAAAAAAAGGATGGGAAAGCTGGTTATGTGGGCACCATTGCATTGTTGTTTTCCGGTTCAACAAAAAAATAGTCATAAAATTCAGGATAAATCATGTTGTCAGTATTTTGTTTTATTATTACATTACCTTCAGTAAATCTTAAAACATGAGAAAAGAGAGTATTTATGACTTACCCCCCCCCCATAAATTAAATATTATGGTGCTTTTATTAGTTGAGAAACCCGTGATGTAATTTGGCAGGAATTTCTTTCATCTGCCTGATATATTCTTAACCTCTTCTTCCAAAATATAAACCTTAGCTACCAGATTAATCCTTTATGGTTCAGATTTTTAATGAAAACAGAGTTATCATGTTAGCCAGAAATGGAATATTGTTTAAATATTTAGCATTACCATAGGCATAGTGGGAGGTGGAAGGATAGCGGGACATTTGGAAGTTTCTTCTGATTGCTTCAGTTTTTTCAGTGAAGTAGAAATCAAGGCTTTAATCTGAGTGTGATAGAAGTAGAAGTAAGTGGAGGTCTGGGGTTTGGGAGAATGAATGGACTAGTGAAATACATGATTGCTGGGCAATTAAACAATTACTCTTAGGTATGAAAAACAAAGTAGAGGAAATAGAGAGTGCTATATATGGGTGCACAAGGTAAAGGTGTCTAATCTAATTTTGCATACTGGGTGTTTCACCATCCATCTCCAGGGCCTGTCCTTTCAGTGTCATCTAGAGCAATCCACCTGTACCCTTGGCCCTAGTTCACTTTGTCCGTGCCTCGGCCATGCCGCAGGAATCCCTGTTCCTTATATAAGTCAAGCCCTTTTGGGATTATAGCTTTCCCCTTCTTTTCTCTTTGCCTGAAATTTCTATTCCATTCTTTCCCCAATTGGACTTACTACATTATATTAAATTTTATCTATCTGCAAAGTCATCGACAGTGTCTGTTTTTTCCCATTATGTTTGATGCATAAATTTCTTCGTAAGTGTTAAATGAGTGTGCCGCTTTTCTTCTTTCTCTCTCCTTCAGTCTGTAACAGTGGTCAGCAAACTTTCTGTAAAGAGCCAGATAGTAAATATCTTAGGTTTTGTGGACTATATGATCTCTGTATCAATTAACTCTGCCATTGTAGCACAAAAGCAATCATAGACAATGCAGAAATGAGTGAGGACGGCTGTGTTAGGATCACACATGTGAAAAACACTGTTAGTTCATGGGCTGTACAAAATAGAATTTAGCTCCTACCTCCTTCATTGTAGTTGGCGGACCTTTGATCTATAAGGACTCTTAACAAGCCCTGATAAAGGAATTTGCAGTAAGAAGTTATTGGTTATAAGATTACCATTGGTGGTGGAGAAGCAAAGATAAAGCAGTCTTTTTGGTCAAGAATCTCATGGTCAGGTTCAAGATTAAGACATGTAAACAAATAATGATGAGGACACAGTATAGTAATGGCAGTTAGTTTATTTATTGGATATGGAAGTGGAAGACAGTAGTGATAATCATTTTTGCTTGGACTGGGAGTAATCTCTGACAGTTATCTGTTGGGGATGGGGAACATTTTCAGCAAAGAGCCTTTCCAAAAATCTTTGAAGCTTGCTAAAAAGGTGACTGATCACATCTCTTACCAGGAAAACTCAATTTCTTTATTTTACAGGATATAATCTTGATTCATTTCTCTCAGAAGTAAAACTAATACATTCTAATAATTCATAACAATTTTTTCTAATAGTTCTGCATGTTTTTTATTGCTTTGAGAAAGGTAGAATATATTTCACAGCAGGTGTAATGTAGTAACCAATATTTCTTTAATAAATGAATAAATGAATATTTAATATTGAATACTGGATTATATTACATCTAGTCTTAAGTCGTTTATCAATACATTAGAAAAGGAAGATGAGCTTTAGTGGGCTTTGAATTTTCTTGCAATTTATAGATTTGGTACGAATCGTTTTTATCTAGGAAAGTTAAATATTTGATTGAAACTTTAGTGATACTAGGTGTTGAAACTTACCTAATTATTTAAAAGCTCTACAACAAACTTAATGCATTCCCCAGGTATGCTGTGGAGAAATGGAAAGTAACTTAAAATGTTTAGAATCATTATGTACTCTTATTTCTGTGTGTCGGTCATTGCTTTTAGCATTGTTTTTTTGTTGTTGTTGTTTAAATTTATTTGACAGACAGAGATCACAAGCAGGCAGAGAGAGAGGAGAAAGCAGGCTTCCCTCGGAGCAGAGAGCCCGATGTGGGGCTCGATCCCAGGACCCTGGGATCATGACCTGAGCTGAAGGCAGAGGATTTAACCTACTGAGCCACCCAGGCACCCGCTTTTAGCATTGTTTTAAGAATTGGTTTTGTTAGACAGTTTTAAGGATGCTGGTCTGGTACAACTTTGTGCTGGAACTATGTCAGGTATTATAAGTTTTCTAAAAAGTATGATTTGTTAAAAATGAGACACTAGAAGTTTTATTGTATTTCAGTTGTTAGCCTATGCTTTCAAGGATTCTCTTCCAGTATATGCTGCAAAAGAGGTCTTAGGTGTTGTCTCCTCAGAAAGCTCCTTTTGGTGTTGTGTAGTCCTCTCTACTGTTCACAGCTCTGCCGTGGTTTTCATGAACTCCATCACTACTGAGTGAACTCCTGAACGTGAGATCCTGTTCCCACTTATAATGTCAAATGTGGGGCTGGCTAAGCATCTTTTCTTGCCTTTTCCTTTTGTTCTTTTGAATGCCTTTACAAGGCCTTAAAGTTTGAGATAATTAAAGAGAGTTAGAGTGCAAAAGACGACATTTAGAGCCCTGTGCTAAATATGGCTTTTCTTATGGTTTAGGGGAAAGGCACCTGGCAACCTAAACTCTTCACAGATGTCCCCTCGCTGGCCACACCTCATTTCTAACTTTGCAGCCTTGTTTCGGTTCCGTCTGTCAGAAGCACCACTTTCATGTCACCTCTGTTGATGGATCTCCTCCACCTTTCTTTCAGGAAAACTCATTCACCCACCCATAGGAGTTGGTCTCATCTCAGATATCATCTCTTTATCTTTGATTCATTATAGAAAACACTGCCTTCCCACATCTTTCCTCCACTCTAATTTCCCATTGGAAACCCTGCAGAAGAGTGTGGGGAATGAGGGTGAGAAGGGACTTTTGTGATTACCCTACCAGTGTGAGTCGCAGATACCCTTCTTTTATTTTTCTGTCTTCTTCCCAAGGGGCAAACATTCTCAGAGCCAATATGGTCTGGATACTGGAAGAGGAAGCAAAATATTTTCCCAAACACCCATAATTTGCAGGGAACCTTTTACAGTAGAGTCAGTGCTTCACATTATTGTGCAGAGCAGAT